TCAGTTCATAGATGAGTTGATTTGGATTTGAGTATAAGCCAAAAATGGCTGATGGTTCACACTTATAGGTGAACTTGAAGACATTGGTAAGGGGAAATCCTCTTAATGAACAGATCTTTGGACAGTGAATCTGGTCATCTACTTTATGTGACAAAAGAAGCAGCCAGAGGTTCAAATACACAAAGATGTCCTGAGCAGTGACAAATGGCTTAGTCAGCTGATCAAAGGTTTAGAAAGGAGAAAGAAAGATCAGCAAAAAGAAGTCCTGGGTAGAGAATGGACATATGGGAGGGAGCATGAAGTGTGAAGATCTTAGTATTGCATGTTAACACCTATCAGAGAGCACTCACCATGGAAAAACAATCAAAAATCAAGATAGGCAAAAATGACTCAACCAATTGACATCAGCCACCCCTTTCATTGGTCATGCCAGAGCCAGCACAATGGGCACAAGAATGGGGTAATCATAGTGGTAGGGATGGAGACTATGTATGGTACCAATAGCATGCCTCCCACTTACAAAGGCTGATCTTGCTAATGCTGCTGTCAAATGTCCGACCTGCCAACAACAGAGGCCAATGATAAGTCCCTTAATTAGGTCAACCAGTCACTTGGTAGAAGGTCGATTACATTGCACCCCTGCAAGCTAATGAATGAAATTAAGGGGGTGTTTCGTTTTGACAGTAATAGATACATATTTGGTTATGGAGTTGTCTTTCTGCCCACAGAGTCTAAATGAACTCCATTACCCAAGAGTTTATAGAGTGAGCCACCACTTTAAAGCAAAGAGTCTGTGTGAATGTCCACATCACTATAGGATCCACTAATTATATCAAATACCACATAACCCAGAAGCGATCAGCCTGATAGAGATAGAATGACCTATTGGAGACACAGCAGCAGTGCCAATTTGGATGTGGTATCCTGCAAGGATGGAGTGTACACTCTAATCGATGACCTTTATATGGTGCAATGTTTGTCAGATAAATGTATTGGTCCAGGAGCCAGAGGGTGAAAGTGGGAAAGGCCTCACCTAACATGACTCCCAATGACATGCTGAGAGATTTTGTGTTTCTTATCCCTGCAACTCTGGGCTCTGTATGTTTAGAAGTTCTACGGAACTTCTAAACAGAACTTTTGGGCTCTACAGAACCTTTGGTTCTGGCTTTTTTCATTCAACGTAATGTCTGTAACATTTACCTACATTATCATGTATATCGTGATATACTAGGGAAGGCAGTAAGAGTACTACTAGACAAGCCTGGACATTTTAGGCTCATTCTGCCAAGAGACCAGCTGTCAAGAAAAGGAACCACTATACTTACAAGAATAATTGGCACAGATCATCAAGAGGAGGGCAGGAAGGAATCTCATTTACACCAATGTAATCCATTTGGGTATCTCTTAATATTCCTATGCCCAATTCTGGTGGCAAAAAGACAAGCGCACCAATACTGGCCTGAGAAGGGCATGGTAACCAGGGACTTGGCTCTCTTGGAAATGAGGTTCTGGGTCATACCATCAAATAAGCCATTGATACCCCAGAGGAGCTAACTGGGGATGACAGAAATCTAGATTGGGTAGTAGCAGATGGGGAGGATGAGCATCATTCCCAGCTGAAATATCAAAGACTACAGTTTGTTCAAGAAGAAGTCCATCAGGATTTTAGAAGAGCTATACTCCAAGCCTCATGATGAAGTGAATCCAGTTAGTACAAGGGGTGGACTACGGTGGCACTGTGAGGTGTTTCCCAGGTCTCCCTTCAGAACTGAAGACTGTTTCCCCAGCTGTTGGGAGTGCTGCTGGAAGACAACTTTCCATGGTCAGTCCTCTTCAAGAATCACCTTGGCTGAGAAGAGGTGCCTCAGCGAAGGTCACACCTTCTTCCCAGGCCAGCCCACATCCAATGACTGATTAGCACAGAAGTATAAAACCAGATCCCCTTGATCCAGCTCAGAACAACTCTGAATGGTCATTCCAGCGTTAGAGCTCCTCATGAGGTAACCTGAAGTCTTTCCTGAGACTGCCTGTATATCAACTCTTCTCTCTACCCAATCCTCCTTTCTTCTTTTCTTTTTCCTTTACTTTCGCAAGTGTTGGTCCCAAAAGTACTTCCCAATAAACTTCCTACATTGCAATCTTCATCACAGCACTTGCTTCCTGGAGAGTTCAACCTCCAGAGTTTTCCAAAGTGGCTGACCTAATTTACACTTCCATCTGCAATACACAAAACCTCTAATTGTACTATATCCTCATCAAACTCTGTATTGTGTGTCTTTTATTTATTTATTTATTTTTATTATTATTATACTTTAAGTTCTAGGGTACATGTGCATAACGTGCAGGTTTGTTACATATGTATACTTGTGCCATGTTGCTGTGCTGCACCCATCAACTCGTCAGCACCCATCAACTCGTCATTTACATCAGGTATAACTTCCAATGCAATCCTTCCCCCCTCCCCCTCCCCATGAGAGGCCCGGTGTGTGATGTTCCCCTTCCCGAGTCCAAGTGATCTCATTATTCAGTTCCCACCTATGAGTGAGAACATGCGGTGTTTGGTTTTCTGTTCTTGCGATAGTTTGCTGAGAATGATGGTTTCCAGCTGCATCCATGTCCCTACAAAGGACACAAACTCATCCTTTTTTATGGCTGCATAGTATTCCATGGCGTATATGTGCCACATTTTCTTAATCCAGTCTGTCACTGATGGACATTTGGGTAGATTCCAAGTCTTTGCTATTGTGAATAGTGCCGCAATAAACATACGTGTGCATGTGTCTTTATAGCAGCATGATTTATAATCCTTTGCGTACATACCCAGTAATGGGATGGCTGGGTCATATGGTACTTCTAGTTCTAGATCCTTGAGGAATCGCCACACTGTTTTCCAAATGGTTGAACTAGTTTACAATCCCACCAACAGTGTAAAAGTGTTCCTATTTCTCCACATCCTCTCCAGCACCTATTGTTTCCTGACTTTTTAATGATTGCCATTCTAACTGGTATGAGATGGCATCTCATTGTGGTTTTGATTTGCATTTCTCTGATGGCCAGTGATGATGAGTATTTTTTCATGTGTCTGTTGGCTGTATGAATGTCTTCTTTTGAGAAATGTCTGTTCATATCCTTTGCCCACTTTTTGATGGGGTTGTTTGTTTTTTTCTTGTAAATTTGTTTGAGTTCTTTGTAGGTTCTAGATATTAGCCCTTTGTCAGATAAGTAGATTGCAAAAATTTTCTCCCATTCTGTAGGTTGCCTGTTCACTCTGATGGTAGTTTCTTTTGCTGTGCAGAAGCTCTTTAGTTTAATTAGATCCCTTTTGTCAATTTTGGCTTTTGTTGCCGATGCTTTTGGTGTTTTAGACATGAAGTCCTTGCCCATGCCTATGTCCTGAATGGTATTACCTAGGTTTTCTTCTAGGGTTTTTATGGTATTAGGTCTAACATTTAAGTCTCTAATCCATCTTGAATTAATTTTCATATAACGAGTAAGGAAAGGATCCAGTTTCAGCTTTCTACTTATGGCTAGCCAATTTTCCCAGCACCATTTATTAAATAGGGAATCCTTTCCCCATTTCTTGTTTCTCTCAGGTTTGTCAAAGATCAGATGGCTGTAGATGTGTGGTATTATTTCTGAGGACTCTGTTCTGTTCCATTGGTCTATATCTCTGTTTTGGTACCAGTACCATGCTGTTTTGGTTACTGTAGCCTTGTAGTATAGTTTGAAGTCAGGTAGCGTGATGCCTCCAGCTTTGTTCTTTTGACTTAGGATTGTCTTGGAGATGCGGGCTCTTTTTTGGTTCCATATGAACTTTAAAGTAGTTTTTTCCAATTCTGTGAAGAAACTCATTGGTAGCTTGATGGGGATGGCATTGAATCTATAAATAACCTTGGGCAGTACGGCCATTTTCATGATATTGATTCTTCCTATCCATGAGCATGGTATGTTCTTCCATTTGTTTGTGTCCTCTTTGATTTCACTGAGCAGTGGTTTGTAGTCCCCCTTGAAGAGATCCTTTACATCCCTTGTAAGTTGGATTCCTAGGTATTTTATTCTCTTTGAAGCAATTGTGAATGGAAGTTCATTCATGATTTGGCTCTCTGTTTGTCTGTTACTGGTGTATAAGAATGCTTGTGATTTTTGCACATTAATTTTGTATCCTGAGACTTTGCTGAAGTTGCTTATCAGCTTAAGGAGATTTTGGGCTGAGACAATGGGGTTTTCTAAATATACAATCATGTCATCTGCAAAGAGGGACAATTTGACTTCTTCTTTTCCTAACTGAATACCCTTGATTTCTTTCTCTTGCCTGATTGCCCTAGCCAGAACTTCCAACACTATGTTGAATAGGATGGTGAGAGAGGGCATCCCTGTCTTGTGCCAGTTTTCAAAGGGAATTTTTCCAGTTTTTGCTCATTCAGTATGATATTGGCTGTGGGTTTGTCTTAAATAGCTCTTATTATTTTGAGATACGTTCCATCAATACCGAATTTATTGAGAGTTTTTAGCATGAAGGGCTGTTGAATTTTGTCAAAGGCCTTTTCCGCATCTATTGAGATAATCATGTGGTTTTTGTCTTTGGTTCTGTTTATATGCTGGATTACGTTTATTGATTTGCATATGTTGAACCAGCCTTGCATCCCAGGGATGAAGCCCACTTGATCATGGTGGATAAGCTTTTTGATGTGCTGCTGGATCTGGTTTGCCAGTATTTTATTGAGGATTTTTGCATGGATGTTCATCAGGGATATTGGTCTAAAATTCTCTTTTTTTGTTGTGTCTCTGCCAGGCTTTGGTATCAGGATGATGTTGGCCTCATAAAATGAGTTAGGGAGGATTCCTTCTTTTTCTATTGATTGGAATAGTTTCAGAAGGAATGGTACCAGCTCCTCTTTGTGCCTCTGGTAGAATTCAGCTGTGAATCCATCTCGTCCTGGACTTTTTTTCGTTGGTAGGCTATTAATTATTGCCTCAATTTCAGAGCCTGCTATTGGTCTATTCAGGGATTCAGCTTCTTCCTGGTTTAGTCTTTTAAATTTCGCCATTCTGATGGGTATGCAGTGAAATCTCATTGTGGTTTTAATTTGCATTTTCCTGATGACTGATGATGTTTAGCGCCTATTCAAATGCTCAGTGGACATCTGGATATTTTCTTTTGCCCATTTGTATTGATTTGTTTGTCTTTTTCTTATTGATTTGTAGGAATTCTTTAAAGATTTGGATGTAATCTGTTTGTCAGATAAATGTATTGCAAAAGATTTTCCCAGCCTGTGGCTTGCCTTTTCAGTCTTTTAATCACAGTATGCTGTAGTGTTTTTTTAAAAAAAACTTTTATTTTGGAATAATTATAGATTCACAGAACATTGCAAAAATAGTACGGAGAGGTCACCCAGTTTCCCCCAATGGTTACATCTTACATAACTACAGTACAATATCAAACCCAGGAAGTTGACATTGGTACAATGTGTGTATAGTTTTATGCCATTTTATACCATGTGTATCACTGCAATTCAGACACAGAACTACCCCCATCACTGCAAGGATCTCCTTCATGCTATTCCTTTATAGTCACACCCATCCCCTTCTCCAGTCCCCCGTCATCTGTAACCCCTGGTAATCACTACTTTCTTCTCTATCTGTACAATTTAGTCGTTTCAAGAATGTTACATAAATGGAATCATAGAGTGCATGATTTTTTGAAACTGGCTTTTTTCCACCCAGCATAATGCCCTTGAGTTCCATCCAAACCATTTTTACATGTAGAAAACTTATGTTACTTATGCTACTTTGCATTACTTGATTATTTATGTTCGATAAGGGAATAAACCAGTTTGTTTTGTTACTATAAATAGATTCTTGTCTTTCATGTAAACACACCAAGATAATTCCCTGGGATTTAAATATTCAGCCCTAGGTGCCAGACACGCTGTCCATGGAGGAGGCCCACACACTACCCACATCTGGTGGGCCGGGGAAAGGGACATCATGAACTTATGTCCTGCAAGTCACAATTATGGCTTCCATTATTGCCGGTGGTCCACAGAGGCCTCTGCATTCGTGTTACCGATGTGGAAGAAGGAAATACAATAGAATCAAAACTGCTCTTTTTATGGTTCAAGGATAATGAGGAAAACAGATGACTCATTTTGCTTTTAAGAATGATGAAACACACAGGTTTCAAAATGGGACATATTAAGAACCTCATTTGTTACGATCACTTTCAGGAGAAACTGGAATATCCTTTCTGAATGCAAAAGTGTCCAGTCCATGGTGCTCACTTTATTGCTGGAGATAACATTCTCTGAAGTCTAATTTCCCTTTCCGCCTTCGGTTCCTCTGCAGCTTCTTCTCCCAAGGCACCATGTCCTCACGCCTTCCCTAAGGTGTCTGCCATAAGCGCTAAATTTTGAGCGGTTCTGTGGTTGCGCATGCTAATCAACAGCTTGCAAAACACCTCTGCCTTTCACTTTGAAAGGGACACACTTGGTGGTGTTTTATGTCAATTGATTCTCTTTGTATTCAACTGCATATTATAATATCACAGAAGATATTCACAGAATATGACAGAAGGTCATCGATGCAAGAAGTGGCTGTGGCCTTTCCTTTCAACTGGAGCAATGGTGGTGAGGGGGAGGAGGAACAAAGGGGCTTTCTAGGGTGCCTGGTAAGTGTGCAAGGAAGAGAATACATCTAGGATAGCTTGGGTAAGTGTGGGGCTACACTGGGAGACTGCACATTGAGCAATAATAACAAAAAGTGCCTGGTGGCCAAGCTTCATGGACAGTGGAGCCGGAGGGCCATTTATCAGTAATCATTTGGGTGTTACCTTGAAATTACATCCAGATTCTAACCCTTTTTTTTTTTTTTTACTACCTCTGCCACTTCCGTCTTCCTCTCAGCCATCATCATCTCTTGCTGATGGGGTTACTGAAATGGCTTCCTGTTTCTACCATTGTGTGTCACCCTCCTACCCTCTCCCAGGAAGCCAGATCTTTTAGAAAATTGTGTCACTGTTTTGATGAATATCCTTCAGTGGCTTCCTATCTCACTTAGAATAAAACCCCAAATACTTCCTCTGGCCAAAAGCACCTATGTATTTCTCTGAGCCTTTTCTCACATTCTCTCTCTTTTTCCAGACATGCCAGCCTCCTTGCTGCTTCTTGGACATATCACAACACTCCCACCGTGGCCTTGTCTTTCCCATCAAGCATTGTCCCTCTTTCAAATATAGATGTGAACTCATCAGAAAAGGGATGTGTTAGCAATGTGTGTCTCCAAAGGTAGGATTTTTGAAAGCCACTATTCCTTTGTGCTTTTTAAAATGTTTCTAATTATTTTCAATGAATACCATGCATTCATTTTTGTAACTGGAAAATAAATATAAAATTAAAAATCAAGATCTTAAAAAGACAGTGTTGCCTATTTCAACATTGTTGATTAAACCCTTTTAAAAGGGCTATCACATAGGTGAAGTCTCTGCATGCAACCCAGATAGTCGATCTGCATTTGGGGCCCACACAAAGCCCACAGGTCTTCTCCAGGTCCCATCCTCCCATCCCCTTTGCCTCATCCTCATTTCCCTCAGGAAATGATCACCGCACCAGGATGGTGATAACTAATTTCTGGGTGAAGATTCTGACTCACCAAATTAAATTGCAATGAAATGCTTTTTAATATGTAATCTAGGATGATGAGTAAATAGTTATTTTCCTCTTGTGAGGGACATTACCTGTCATTCTAAAAATTAATCTTATTTAAGAGACGCTTAAAATATGGAGCAATAGCATGGCGTTTCAGACCAAGCAGTTAATGAGTAATTAAATTTGTGTGAATTATGAATCTCGATTCTTTCAATGCTATTTTCCTTTAGAGCTATTAGTTACTTGCTTTTTTTTTTTTTTTTCTCAGTTGCTACAGAGATTTACATTCTGGCTTTTCAGAATTCTCTTTGTAAAATGGAGAAAATGCTATTGGCCAACTTGAACATAATATATACAACCAAAAAATTCTTTAGGTACAGTAGATACAGCTTAGGACAGCATGGTTGAGGGATTTCCACAAGGTTTGGTAGGCTGACATGAAGAGCATGCAAAAAAAAAAATGATTTCTACTTTTTTTGGAAGAAAAATGACAGTGTGTCAGGCACCATAGCATTGCTAACAGCACTAGTTCCCACTTCATTTTTCAACTTCACATGTTCCCTAGAAGACAATTGGACAAAGCACTGCGGCATGAGGTGAGAGGTAGAGTGGGGAGATCCATTCATTGTGGATTTTATTATGGATTTTATTCAAACCTTTTGTGTATGTCTTTGAGGCTCTTCAGAACATTAAACTGAAATCTTGCTTTTAAATGTCAATGGTCTTTTAAAAAATGTCAATGGTCTTGATATCACTCTGCAGTCTCATCTGTTCCTTGGTGAGATCTGTAGAGTGGAACAGACTGTACGGCCTTTGTTCGGTTCCAGGCCCTATCCTGTGTTTGCACCTGTAACTCCCTCTGTGTTGCCCCGCCCAAGCCTCAGGAGCTTATGACATAAAGAAGGTGAAGCTTGCATTGGAGTCAGCCTAATTGAGCTGTGCCATGCTTTGAAACAGGCTGGGCATTATCATGGGACAAGCTCTGCCGTTTAAACAACTCCAGCAGACTGCTGCAAAATGTATTGATTTTGCTTAAGACAAACACCAAATACGGATGGTTTATCTCTTTTTCTTCAGGGAGTTGGACTTTTCAGCCACCTTGGATATCCCCAAACCTCTACCTTCCCTCTTCAGAAATGGTCTCTGCCCCCATTCTTCCTACCATAACACCTACCAACTCTATCATGGTGGCCTGTCGACAGCCCAGGGGCCACATTAATCTTGTTCATAGTTGTAATCCAGAATCTGGTACAGAGTTTGGTGCACAAAGATGCTCAGTAAATATTTGTTGTAAAAATAGAGGGGTGAATTAACAATCTAATGATGTCACGTCTCCAATGCAAGTCCCAACAAACAAAGCCTACACTATGCTTTCTCCAACTCTCCCTCCATGTTGCTAGCAGCTCTATACTATGTTCACATATGATCCACTTGGTGGAGGAGGCTGAAACCTGCCAGACTGCCCACACCAGCTCCTCATCACTTCGGGTTTGGTCTCTGCATTTGCAAAAGCACAGATTCTGTCACTTTTGCCCCGGCCTTTGACCTTTGCATGCAACTCATGATGATATAAAAACAAAAGCAAGGGTTCGGTAATGTGTAAGCAATATGCTAAGCAACTAGTGACTCAACATTTACCAGACATATACCTAATGTACTGGTACTGGACATGTACCTCAGCACTGCCATATAAGCTGTCATGGTTGTTCCTTTTCGTTACCACTGGTGGCTGCATGAGGATGGTGGTGTGCCTTTGGCTGGCATGAAGTAGGGTGCCCAAGAAGCTTCATATTCTACTCTTTGTTACTTGACCCTATTTACTGCTGGTCTCTGCTACTACCATGTGCTCCTGAATTTTTATTGCACCTGGATATCACTGCCTATCCTCCAGCATTCATTTTACAGCCAGGATTTCACTTTGAACATGATTTAAACGTGATGGACGCTCCCACTGCCATCATGGCAGCATAGTGGTATGCAGGAACTGCTAATGTCAACAACATCCTTTCTTTTTATGAGTGGCCCCTCAGACACTTGGTCATGACTTGGGATGGTTCACAGATTACTTTGTCAGCCAAACACTTTTAGGTTGGATACTTTGTGTTTATAATTAATAATTAGTAATGGTTTTTATTTAGCACTGAGAAATATTTTCACTGGTTATATATAAAACAACCACATAATAATATCAATGACAATAGCCACTATTGTATAGCACTGACTTTGTGCCAGACATTGCTCCAAGTGTTTTACAACTTAGCTCATTTCCTTCTCATTAGAGTCCTATGTGGTAGATATTATTGTAATAATTGCCATTTACAAATGAGCAAACTGAGGCACAAAGAGGTAAATAACTTACCAAACACATCTAGCAAGAGGCAGTCAGAATGCAAACCCAGACAATCTTAATCTGAGTCTAAGCTGTAAAACCCTGTACTTCAACACTTACCTAAGACAGGAAGCAATTATTATAGTGCCCCATTCTTAAATCTTAATGTCTCTAATCTATATGTTCTCCCATTACTCATCTACATCTCTTCACCTTTTCAAACTTATTGATTAACATTAGTGATCACTAATATTTATGGAGCCCTTACTGTGTGTCAGGCAACGTGGCAAATATTTTACATACAAGATCGCATTTAATTCTCATAACGATCTCTTAAGATATGCTAGTTGTATTGTCCCTGATTTTGCAGAAGAGGAAACTGAGGGCTAGTAAGGTGAAGTCACTGGTAAAGTAGCTGAGCTAGGATACCAGCTCAAGTCTGTGCAGCTCAACCATTACTCTACACTCCCCTCTTACCTGTGCAGAGCCTCATGAACCACACCTCAGCTCTGACTGCAGGCCTACAGCTCCACAACAACCTGCCCTTGATCAACTCACTACTAGTTATCTTTTTTTCTTTCTTTTTTTTTTTTTTTTTTTTTTGTAGCCTGTTGAGGTCTTTTTCCATTTGGATCTCCAGCTCTCATTCCCATTTATCACATCTAGTCTGGGACCTATTGCGAGGCAGGCCCATTTTTTATTTTTATTTCTTTTGCAATTCCTCCCTGGACAGTACAGATAAAGTATACCTATCACGTGCTCTTAACTGACAGAGTCACCTGACCTGGTCACTTGGCACAGTCAAAGAAGCTGGCTCTTCGGGCATGCACCTTCACTAGAGCACCGTGGTTCTTTTCTTTGCCAGCTTTTCCTGCTTTGGCTCATGGTTAGGCTTTACTGTCTGTCCTTTGCTACCTGCATAGCTCCACCCCATTGGGTCAGTGGGCTGGAGTTAAGAGCACTGGCCATCACCCCAGACCCAAAGACTTTACCAGTAGCACCTAGTGTTCTTCTATCCACACACCAGTCAAGCAAAGCAGCCAGAATTGCTCTTCTCCCAGGAAGAAATTCACAGAGGAAATTAGCTCTAGGCTCCAGGTATGCAGAGCAGAAGAAAGCCAAGTTCCACCACTGGTTCCCGCTAGTAACTACAAAGTCCACCAATACACTCCTCAACCAAATGGTAGGAGGGGAGCATCCAAACAAGACTTCTCCAGCAGCAGCAGCAGCAGCAGCAGCAGCAGGATTTCCAGACATCTATTATAAAACCAAGTTTCCCTTTAGGAAACTTCATACAGCAGATGCCCCAGACTAGACACATGGCTGAATTTTGAGTACTTCCATGTGAATGAGGTTGATTTCATTCCACTGATGGCACTGCAATCATGCATGAAATGAAGTCATACACACACACACACATATATATATACACACATACACACACACACACACACACACACACAGTCAGCTCTCTGTATCCATGGATTCAACCAACAACAGATTGAAAATATCTGGGAGGAAAAAGTTATAGGCGTATTGAATATGTACAGACATTTTTCTTTGTCGTTATTCGTGAATAATACAGCACAACAACTCTGTACACAGTTTACGTTGTATTAAGTATTACAAGTAATCTAGAGATGATTTAAAATATACAGGAGGATATGCATAGGTTATATGCAAATACTATACCATTTTGTATCAGGAACTTAAGCATCTGTGTATTTTGGCATCCACGGGAGGTCCTGGAACTAATCCCCAGTGGATACCAAGGGATGGCTGTATATGTCAAACTGTTTTTCTACTGAACTTTTGTTTCAGCAGTCAGTAAGCCAAATTGATAAACTTGCCAAGTCTCATACCCTTGTGCTTTTGTTTTGAGACACATCGTCTCCCTGTAAATCAGCCTTTCAATTGATCGATGGTTTAGACCTCCTACATTGTTTATTTAGGGATACGCTTTTGCTATATTTATATAACACTTTCAATCAGAATATTTTTATTTTTACTGACAAACCATAAGAATATAGTCACACTTCATGTCCTCATGACGTCTATCTGATAAAGATGTTGCTGCAGATTAAGTGAGTTGCATTGGTTGATGCTCGGAGCCCTGTGTATGTCATCAGACTGAGGGCCCTGTCTGTCTGAAGCATTTAGAAAAGGAATCATTACCCCAGCATTGCCCACTTATCTCAGCCTATAAAAATAAATATTTGCCCAATAATATGGCAGGTTTATGAGCTGCATTTAATACTGCAATGAAAAAGTCTATCACTGTGTGTGTGTGATTTAGAGAGAGAGAGAGAGAGAGAGTGTGTCTCTGTGTGTGTGTGTGTGTGTGCGCATTAAGGTTGCCATGGGAGCCCTTGGTGCTTCTGAACCTTTATAATAATGAACAATAATTAGATGTAATGCTTTATGGTGGTGAAGCACCTCATGGGCTCCTGATAATTGTAAAGTGTTTGGCAATTAATTCACACTCCCTGAGATTCAGGTTGGTATAATTAACCCCACGAGGAGAAGCAGCCTCAGAGAAGGGGAGCCACATGGTGGGGAACCATCCTGCTTTGCCTTGGCGCAGACAAAGGGAGGCCCTCCCCATCTTCCGGGCCCTGCACCACCTCCACCGGAAGCCTCTGCATACTCCCCTCCTAGGCCCCAGGCACTTAGCTCAGCTGGCTGAGTGTGTGCCCTGCCGGGAGGGGCACAGGAGTCAGGCTTTCTGCTTTGCATTTCTCTGGGCAAAGACCTGCAGCTCTGCAGAGCTGTGCCTGTTGGTGGGGAGAGGAATTCAGAAAGCCACGTGGGGAAATGGAAGTTGCAAATGCACTGCTTGGCTGTCACCAGCTAAACCTTCATGAAATTGCTACGTCTGCCCTCTCTTCCCAAAGCAGCTGCTATCTGGGGTTGGTCTTCAGCTTTTCTAGTGATTGTCCATAACAGGAACAACAAACACGCTCTTAGACACCTGTGAGAGAGCTGGGAAGGGGATGCGTATACTTAATGAAAACTGTTATTGAAATTATCTATGTCTAGATATAGATAGTAATATACACAGTAACATGTTGCTGTATTATAATTCATATCTATTTATTTATATAATATATAATGTTATACACACACACATTTATATATATGTATGTATGTATAAAATTGCAAGTCAATCCCTGAAAATGAGTGGGTTGTATGCTTGGGCTGTGTCATGTCAATCAAACACTAGGTCTTCATTTTCTCCAAAGAAAAACAAAATTCTTGAAGAAAATTTTATCCAACACCCTTTTTTGTTTCAACTTAAATTCTCATGGACTAATTCAAACATTTCATTTTCTTGGTTGCAGGCTATTACGGTCTGAATGCTGACGTAGCCCATGAGCGAATGTGTTGGATCGCTGCCATTGACAAACTTCAGGCCGTTTCTCATGTCCCTGCACCCAGCTCTGAGAGGGCGTGGGGATGAGTCACAGCATGGAGTCCAGACCTGAGGGTGATAGATAGGTGAAGATGGTCCTAGGACCATCTTCCTCAGGGCTATGCCGAGCAGGAAGATGGCACGAGTGTTTTCCTATGACACAGCTGTCTGATAAATTCCCACCGCAGCAAAGTTAATACCTGGATACACGGCGCCGACAGCCAACACAGAGAGCGAGGGGCACGCTAGGTAAGCCATGTCTTCTGCTTTACTCCAAGAAAGACTCTGGATAGCACAAGGCCTCCAGTATATTTTGACAGACTGTTTTGCACCAGAAAAGCTAATTTGCTATGATTAGTTGCACTACATTTGCGAGATAGTTACTCTATGTTTATTTGGAAGGCAAATGAGAGTATCTTTTGGTGATTTTTCTTTAAGAACTGAAGAAACTCTCTAAATTTTCTTAAAAAAAAAAAAAAGCGACCATGAATAAAACCTCTTGGGTCCTGGGAAATAGAAATGTTTATGCACCATGAAAAGACAAAAGGGGCCCGCACCACTTACAAGCAGCCCCAGCAGAAACGCAGAGGGAGAGGAGGGAGCCGGAGGGCCCAGGGAAGCCAGGTATAGCACTGAGGCCTGGGGGAGACTGAGCCAATGGTGAGAGGGGAGATGCAAGCTGGAGGAGCCTGAGCTAAAGGCCCAGATCAGTCAGGAAGAAATAGAGAGGCCTTTCAGAAAGTTCTCAGAGTAGCAGACAGGAATAAAGGGAGAATTGGAGGCTTCGTGGAGTAGCACTGGAGAGAGAGGGAGACCCTGGGGCTGAACACAGAGAAGTAGAACTTGAGAAAAGCTTGATACTGATGGGAAGACACCCTAATCTCTTGCTCTCATCTTTCTTTCTTTCTTTCCTTCCTTCCTTCCTTTTTCTTTCCTTCTTCTCTACTTTTCTCCCTCCCTCCCTTTCAGTCACACTCATACACACACACACACACACACACACACACACATAATGTCTAATACATGTCTTGCTTTCTTCCATGAAATTCTATGTGCTATGCAATATAGGCCTCTTGGGCCAACTATAAATCATCAATAAAGTCTACATTTCTCATGAATGCCTGTAGTATGAGTTTTCTTTTTAAGGGATGCAAGAAAATCCTAAATCCTGCTTTGGGAGTGTCATGAGAGAAATCTAGGCACATATATCCACTTTTGATTCCTGTAGTCACAAAACAAGGTCAGTGTAATTGATAGGGGTGCAAAAGGAAGATAGAAGTTTGAAACCCTGATCCCACATTCCTTTACACCTGCTTAGCAGCTCTGACCTCTGTCCTTCCAATTCTGCAATGTAGAGTCCTGCGCCCCGCAACAACCAACTCACCACCTCCCCTCTCCCAAGGGAAGTAAAGCCAGGTGGTCATTGTCAGGGGCAGTTCCCAGGACTTGGGAAAACCACAGCCTCAATGCGTGAGCCTAGGCTGCCTCAGACCCAGGTAAAGTCTGTTTCACCTGGTGGCTGCTTATCAGCATGCTCTCCCATGCTTCTGAGAGGACCTGCTAGGCCTGACCTTTCTAATTCTGCACAAACTCCGTTAGGCCTGGGCTCAGGTGGGAGCAGAAAGAAGGAGAGCTGTTCCAGGTGCAAGGCCAGCTGGGAACCGAGAACCAAGGACAAGATGCCCTGAAACTCCATCTCAGGGTGTGCAGAGGCAGGTGTCAAAGGAGGTGGCACCTTCTTCGTATTCTTAACACATCTTTGCAAGACTTGAGAACTTGCAGTTTACTCATGGTGCTGATCAAAAGAGGGTTTTTTTTTTTAGAGATTAAAAAAGAAAAGCAAAGAAAAGCCAAGTGTTCACGCATGCAGTCTTCCTCATTAACACGGCAGGCTCTGAGCGAGAGAGAAAGCACATCAGAATTTTTGGAAGCAGCTGTTCTCCCAGCAGTAGTCTCTTCTCAGGGAAGCTACAGGCTGATGCTCTCAGAGCCTGTGAATTCAGAGGCCTCTCACCACTTCAAATGAAGGCCAGGCTGAGGGCTGGGGAAAGTACTGTTCTTAAAGCCAACCCAATTGGCAGCTAGAGTCACAGAACCTAGAATCCACGTGAGTCAAGAGTCACCCAAAGCCTGCAGTGATCGAGGGTTGACTGTGTGCCTGACTCTCTGCTAAATTCATGACCTGTATTTTCTCATTTCATCCTAGAAACACGACCATGTGGTATTATTTACCCCACCTTACCAATGAGCTAACATCACTGCCCACAGTCACCCAGTGCAGAAGGAATGCAGAATGGGATTGAAGACAGGTTTGCCTGAGTTAAAGCCCATGCATCACGCTCCCCACCTGTGTGCCAGACTGCCTTCTCCTAGCTTACCCTTCTTTTGCTATTGGGCTATTTCCAGTGTCTAGCATTGTTGAGATTAAATTAAAGCTTAATAATTATGAAAATAAATTTTTGTTTTATTGATTCTCCTTCAGGAAGCCATCGCTAACCCCAGATCCCTTCTCTATGCTCATGGCACACATATTCTTGACTCCTATGGTGGCTCACATCACACTGCTTGTAATTATTTATTCTTATTGGCCTTTCCTGCAACACTGTGAACTCCTTTGGGGAGAGCAGTATGTGAGTGGGGGGCAACTTTGTATTTATTCCCAGCACAATGTCTGATTTCTAATAGATATTTGTTGAGTGAGTGACCTAAAACATTTCATAAATAAAATAGACAACAAAATAACAATGGAGTGGCTTCATGCAATGGAGAGCGCACTACATGTGGAATCAGAAATCCTGCCCTCCACTCCAGCTGCCTTACTTATTATCTGTGTGCTTTGGAACAAATCACTTAGCCTATCTGGGTTTCTGTTGCCTTGTCTACAATCGAGACAGTTGGACTTGAGCTCCTCAAGGTCATACCCAATGCTGGCATTCTATGAGTCCAGGCTGAGCCAGAATCCATGCAACTCCTTCTTGAAGCCACCTGCTTCAAGGTACAGTGCTCCATGCTCAGCAGTAATGCCCCACCACAGACCCAAAGTTTAAGGATTTATTTCCTGGGCTGGCCAGCCCCATAGCTCTGCCTACAGAAAGGCCTTTTGGCCCATTCTCTGCCCCTGTACCAGCATGCCTGCCACATCCTTTCAGCTTGATCCTCACTCCAGCCTCTTTCTAATTCAGCTTGCTGCCTAATGACCCACTCATCTCTTCTATCTCTCCCATTTGTCCCACGCTTGTGGGCAAGATCCACTGGGGAGCTGAGACACCTCTAATTAGAATGTTAGTCTCTAACAAAAAAATAAAATTTTAAGCCAATATCCCTGATGAATATCAATGCAAAAATCCTCAATAAAATACTGGCAAACCAAATCCAGCAGCATATCAAAAGCTTATCTACCACAATCAAGTTGGCTTCATCCCTGGGATGCAAGACTGGTTCAACATACACAAATCAATAAACGTCATCTGTCGCATAAACAGAACCAATGACAAAAACCACATTATCTCAATAGATGCAGAAAAGGCCTTTGACAAAATTCAACACCCCTTCATGCTAAAAACTCTCAATAAACTAGGTAACAAGGGAACGTATCTCAAAATAATAAGAGCTATTTATGACAAACCCATAGTCAATGTCATACTGAATGGGCAAAAACTGGAAGCATTCCTTTTGAAAACTGGCACAAGGCAAGGACACCCTCTCGCACCACTGCTATTCAACATAGTATTGGAAGTTCTAGCCAGGGCAATCAGGCAACAGAAAGAAATAAAGTGTATTCAAATAGAGAAAGAGGAAGTCAAATGGTCTCTGTTTGCAGATGACAGGATCGTATATTTAGAAAACCCCATTGTCTCAGCCCAAAATCTCCTTAAGCTGATAAGCAACTTCAGCAAAGTCTCAGAATACAAAATCAATGTGCAAAAATCACAAGCATTCTTATACATCAATAACAGACAAACAGAGAGCCAAATCATGAGTGAACTCACATTCACAATTGCTTCAAAGAGAAAAAAATTCCTAAGAATCCAACTTACAAGAGATGTGAAGGACCTCTTCAAGGAGAACTACAAACCACTGCTCAAGGAAATAAAAGAGGACATAAACAAATGGAAAAACATTCCATGCTCATGGACAGGAAGAATCAATATTGTGAAAATGGCCACACTGCCCAAAGTAATCTATAGATTCAATGCTATCCCCATCAAGCTACCATTGACTTTCTTCACAGAATTGGAAAAAGCTACTTTAAACTTCATACAGAACCAAAAAAGAGCCTACATAGCCAAGACAATCCTAAGCAAAAACAACAAAGCTGGAGGCATCATGCTACCTGACTTCAAACTATACTACAAGGCTACAGTAACCAAAATAGCATGGTACTGGTACCAAAACAGATATATAAACCAATGGAACAAAACAGAGGCCTCAGAAATAACACCACACATCTACAACCATTTGATCTTTGACAAACCTGACACAAACCAGCAATGGGGAATAGATTCCCTATTTAATAAGTGGTGTTGGGAAAACTGGCTAGCCATATGCAGAAAACTGAAACTGGACCCCTTCCTTACACCTTGTCCAAAAATCAATTCAAGATGGATTAAAGACTTCAATGTAAGACCTAAAATGATAAAAATCTTAGAAGAAAACCTAGGCAATACCATTCAGGACATAGGCATGGGCAAAGACTTATTTTTAAAACACCAAAAGTAAGGGCAACAAAAGCCAAAATTGACAAATGGGATCTAATTAAACTAAAGAGCTTCTGCACAGCAAAGGAAACTATCAGCAGAGTGAACAGGCAACCTACAGACTGGGAGAAAATTTTTGCAGTCTATCCATCTGACAAAGGGCTAATATCCAGAATCCACAAAAAACAAACAAATTTATAAGAAAAAAACAACCCAATCAAAAAGTGGGCAAAGGATATGAACAGACACTTCTGGAAAGAAGACATTTATGCAGCCAGCAAACATGAGAAAACGCTAATCATCACTGGTCATTAGAGAAATGCAAATCAAAACCACAATGAGATACCATCTCACACCAGTTAGAATGGTGATCATTAAAAAGTCAGGGAACAACAGATACTGGAGAGGATGTGGAGAAACAGGAATGCTTTTACACTGTTGTCGGGGGTGTAAATTAGTTTAACCATTGTGGAAGACAGTGTGATGATTCCTCAAAGATCTAGAACTATACCATTTGACCCAACAATCCCATTACTGGGTATATACCCCAAGGATTATAAACCATTCTACTATAAAGACACATGCACATGTATGTTTATTGTGGCACTGTTCACAATAGCAAAGACTTGGAACCAACCCAAATGTCCATCAATGATAGACTGGATAAAGAAAATGTGGCACATATACACCATGGAAAATACTATGCAGCCATAAAAAAGAATGAGTTCATGTCCTTTGCAGGGACATGGATGAAGCTGGAAACCATCATTCTCAGCAAACTAACACAGGAACAGAAAACCAAGCACCGAATGTTCTCACTCATAAGTGGGAGTTGAACAATGAGAAGATATGGGCATAGGAAGGAGAACATCACACACTAGGGCCTGCTGGGGGGTGGGGGGCTAGGGGAGAGATAGCATTAGGAGAAATACCTAATGTAGGTGATGGGTTGATGAGTCAGCAAACCGCCATGGCATGTGCGTGCCTATGTAACAAAATTTCATGGTCAGCACATGTACCCCAGAACTTCAAGTATAATTTAAAAAAATTTTTTTTAAAGAATGTTAGTCTCTGTCCTAAAATGATTCCCTACACCCATAGCATATGGAGAGACATCTATGAAGGGTTAATTTTTAATTTGCCATTGTGAGATGTTGTTAATATATTTGAACAAATAGATTGGAGGACATGTTGCAATATAAGTATTACTAATTAACACCATTCCACCATGCACACTGCTGATCATGCCTGAGTCTACTCCCTCCATCTAGTGGCCTTAATAAGAGAGTTCCAGAGCTTTGTGTGAATTAGATTTCAGGGCCCCTCCATCGCTGCCTGGTGCAGCCAGGCAGGCAGCTGTAAGGGCAGATACAGAGTGTGCTTCAGACAGAGAAGTGCCCTCGCTGCTTCGTGTTGTGTGT